TATGTAGACCATACACGACAAAACACCCACTATGTATAAGACGATGTCCATACATGCACAATGAAAAATCTATGAATTTTGAGTAATTTAGTAACCTTGGCTGAAATGGCTACGCAAACCATGCACGACAGAACACCTACTATGCACAAGACGATGTCCATACATGCACAATGAAAAATTCATGAATTTTGAGTAATTCAGTAACCTTAGTTGAAATGGCTACGCAAATCATGCACGATAGAACACCCACTATGCATAAGACAATATCCATACATTCACAACGAAAAATTCATAAATTTTGATTAAATCAATAACCTTATCTTGGTTGAAATGGCTACACAGATCATGCATGATAGAACACTCACTATGCATAAGACAATATCCATACATTCACAACGAAAAATCCATAAAATTTGAGTAATTCAGTAACCTTAGCTGAAATGGCTATGCAGACCATGCACGATAGAACACTCACTATGTACAATACGATGTCCATGTATGAACAATGAAAAGTCTATACATTTTGAGTATTTCACTACTAGCTTGGAGAAAATGACAGGTTATGTAGATCATACACAACAGAACACCCACTATGAACTAGACAATGTCCATGTATGCATAACAAAAAGTCCATGAATTTTGAGTAATTCAGTTACCTTATTTTGGCTAAAATGGCTACATAGACCATGCACGATAAAATACCTACTATGCACAAGACACTGTTCATGGATGGACAATGAAAAGTCCATGCATTTTCAATATTAATAAGGACAATTAAATCAGATAAGAATTTCATGTTGGTACTAGTCTTGGTACTAAAATAAGTACCCACATGAAATTTGATATCATATTTCAAGTTTGACATATATAAAAAGTTACCCACTATATCCAAAACATCTAACAATTACTTCTCTATATATAAACAAAAAATATTTGTCATTCCCAATTACCTAAAAAATATTAATTGAAAATGCTTCCATATACATAAATTATACTTTATAATGCCTTCCTAAATGCCACAGCATGAGTAAAAGTTTGTCCTACTCCAACAAGCAAATCCTTCCATTTGCTAGCATTCATCTCTGGCATAGGGGTATGAATGCATTGGATAGCTAAATTATCTTCTCCACTTTCTGATGAAATGCTTCCTCTAGAGTTAGGTAAGCTGAAGCCTTCCAAATCAATATCCCAATGCTAAGGAGATAGCAAACTTCTATCTAAAAATGGTAACAACTAGTCTATCCTGCATTTACAAAAGTTACCACATGATTAGTGCTATGTATTAATAACTTTTATTTTACATGACTAACCATTCAATATAAACAAGTAAATATTTATATTTGCACAACATATAATCCAGTATTCCTAACAATGCATTTTTTGACCCAATTGACATGAATGTCAGTACTTACTCTTCAGGATCATCTTTAAGTGCAGCCCGTCTAGCAACATACACATGAGCAGTTCTTCCATTGTATTCAAACAATTATTCAACTCAACATAATCAAGAAGATCTATGAATGTGCTTGAATCAATCTTAACAGTAAACTTTATGTCATTTTCATTATCATCATGACAAACTTCTGAAGATGTAAGTGATCTTAGCCTTGTATATTTCATTCTTTTCGTTATGGTTCTTGCAATTACATTTTCACCCTCATACTTCATATCACTATCAACACTCCTCACAAATTCATTGCCATAGTGGAAGAAAAAAATAATTTTCTTTTAAACTACTTTCCATCGCTTATATTAACCTGTAATGAATAAATTAATCTAGGTAAATGTTCACATATAGAAGTTTAACTTTTATTTTACACAATATGAAGTTTAACATAAACAACTCAAAGTTCATTTTCACACAATAGATACTCCAACGTCTTTGACAGCAGATTTTCTTCACATTAGGAGTCATATTGTATTTAATTTACATGTCAAAATTTAATATTAATAGGTCAACCATAGATATTGTACAATAACTAATCCATTCTAAAACTTTCATAACCAACCTAATGGTTCAACAACCTTTAGCTTCTATCAGTAGGTTAGGCTTTGTTAACAAATTGCACAAGAAGGCAAATAAGATATAACACAATATCCACTATAGACAACACAATGTTCATATATTCTTACCTAAAAGTCCATGTTATTCAAGTTTATCATTAGGCTAGGCTTAACAAAAGGAATGCTCAAGTTAGGAAAATATGGCACACCATAATATCTACTATGCACAACACAAAGTTCATTCATATCTCACCTGAACCAACTTAATGGTTCAACAATCTTTAGCTTATATAAGTAGGTTAGGCTTTCTCAACAAATTACATAAGTAGGCAAATAATGAATAACACAACATCCACTATGCACAATACAAAATTCATCAGTTCTCACCTGAAAGTTTATGTTATTCCAGTTTGTCATTAGGCTAGTCTTAACAAAAGGAATGCTCAAGTTAGGCAAACATGGCACAACATAATATCTACTATATATAATACGAAGTTCATATATTCTTACCTAAACGTCATGTGATTCTAATTTATCATCAGGCTAAGCTTAATATAATGCACAACTCAACGTTCAACAAAAACAACTCAAAGCTCATTTTCACATAATAAATACTCCAATATTTTTGATAGAAGATTTTCTTCGTATTAGATCATATTTTATTCAGTTCACATGTAAAACTCTAATATAAAGAAGTCAACCATCATTATTATATAACAACTAATCCACTCTAAAACTTTCATGGCCAAAATGTTCAACAACCTTCACCTCATATCAACAGTAGAATCACAAATAAAATTTCAATTTCAACAATATCACATTTAACTTTGTACAACAAAAAATCCATCTCATATGCACCCTACTATCTCATGTAAAACCCTCATTAAATGCTTCTATTAAATGAATCAATATATACTAAATGAGTGAAGATCATCTTTGTCGCTACTTCACCAGCAATTGACATGCAGCAATGAAAAACCTTAAATTATTTCTACCCTTAAATGATTTATATAGCAACAATGGATGCCTCTCATTTCTACAGTAATAACAGTAAAAATCTTAGCTCATTTCTGCTGCAACAATGTGAGAAACTTGAAAACCTCTAGCTGAGATTGTGAAATCATCAAAGCACTGCTTAAGATGGAGAGATTTTAAAATCTACACAGTTTAAAAGTTACTCCTCTCTATTAAAGATTAGAAACCTTCCTATTCTCTAGCTGAATACCCATTCTTACGCGTCTGTCATTCTTTCTCTACATTCAATTTCGTTTATGTCCATTAAGGACAACATAGTATTTTTGCTCTGAAGAAATATTGCACTTGAGGCCTCAAGACCTGCAAAGCAATTTCAGAATTATTTAGGCCCTAAGTGAAATAAATTCTATTTTTAAAGCCCTTAGTGCCATTCCCCCATTATAAAAATGCCTTTGGTCATCTTAAATAGGATCATTGACCGAATTGGTGCCTATACATGATTAATATATATTATAACCTATTATGGTTTACTCTTCTTATTCTATTTATAAGTCGGTTTAACATGTTTTATTAGAATAAAAAAATTTTTAAATTTTATTATCTTTGTCTTAAAAAACTTTTTACCTTTACTCCTCGTAAGGACAACAAAATTATTTTTAATAATTTTCCTTGCATTTAATAAAAACAAAAAAGTAAAGATGAAGGCAGAAGATAATGAAGTGCTTTATAAAAAATATCAAAATTAATCTTTTTTGTTTGCTTTATAAATAAGATTGGAAGAATATGTAATTAAACTCAATCCATTTTAGTAAGTATTGAGAATAATTATTTAATATCAATGGGTGTAATGTGGCAATTAATCTTGACTACAATTGTATTGCTGTTTTCTTTAATTGTCACGTGTTAAAAAAATTATAAACAAGAGTGAGCTCTAGTATAGAAGTACAAAATCATGAGAGAGACATTGTTTTGGGACACAAGCAATGCAAGAAAGTTGGGAGTTCATCGTAAATAGAATAGCGGGGAACATGCGATAGACAGTTTCAACATCAATAACAGTCAGTCATCTCTCACTGAAAACCATGAAACTAGACGAAGCTTTAAACAATTTTTTTTTAAAAAAAGATATTTAACTTCCTTATTACTCCAAATCCACCAATGCTACTCGCTGCATGTGATGCCTAACTAGCAAAATGCCAAAATCTTTTCAAACCCAATGGTTTTTTTTATTTTAATTTTAATTTTAATTTTTTCTTCTTGATCCTCTGTTTCCCATCTAGTTTTTCTTAAAAAATCTTTTTTTAAGGAAGCGTGATTTATGGCTGGTGAATTTGGAAATTGTAAGAATAAAAATTAGGTCAATGATCCAATTTCTATAAAAGAATTTATATATTGATTTAAACAAGTACAAATTTAAAATTTTTAATTGTATATAAGATATTTAAATTTAATGTAATCAACTTTCAGATTATACTCCCTTTATTCCTATATAAGTTATTTTTAATAAAACATGCATATTAATAAAAGCTTGCTATTTAGTTTAAAATATATAAAATCACAACAATTTTTTAATTTTATCTCTAATAATATCATAATTAATATTATAAAGGGGATAAAGTATATAATTAATATTTTTCCTCTTTTCAAGACATTCAAAGCACACAATTATCTATTATTTAATTATTTAAAAATATCATGAAGCCCTCTTTATATTTAAGAATAAAATAAAATTTTAGATAACATCCTATATACAGAAATGGGGGATAATTGCTTAAATTAATATTTATAATTTATTTTTAAAAAAACTTTGTCAAAGACTTAATTGTAATTAATTTTTTATATTTTGGGGTTTAATTGTCATTCTTCTATATATGAATTTGGCATTACTTAATTTTTTAATTATCTAAATTATTTAAATTAAATTTATATAATTCAAAATGTGTTTTGCTTTATTTTTTTTGATAAAAGTCTAATATTATAAACTGAATAGCAAGTTTAATTCGCTCGTTCAGAAACCAATAAATAGGAATAAAAATATTAAAAATTAAATTAGATAAAAATATAATTTTAGAAACTAAATATTAAACCATACAGAACGAAAATACATTTTCCGTCTTTTTTCCCGCTCCGATCATGAAAATATTTCAAGTGCCCAAACCTAATGTTACGCTTCTTTCATCTTCTCCGTAACGACCTACCGATCCTTACGGTCCGAACACTTCGCCGCAGTGTCACTGGCACTTTCTCCGATCTCCGACGCAAACCGGCGATGACATCCACGAAAGCACTGAGTATGAACTTATGCGATTTCTTCTCGTTCAGGTTGAGATAACAAAACAAAAGCTCTTCCATGAAATCCCAATCCACTCCTTCGTGATTATTCAACCTCGCTTCCACCATATCCTGCATGGACCGCAGGAAATCTTCGTACGGACTCGGCGAGTACAGCAAGACGGCGATGAAATCTCTTGGAAGCGTCTCCACGGTCGCACTTTCACGATGATTATAAGATAAATTCGGAGAATCATTGAGCGTTGTGGTCGAGCTCGAGCTCGAACAGGCTTCGTCGTCGCATGTGGTTGTCACGCTCAACCTCGCAGCATCCTCGACGATTGAGCCAGACAAGCCCGGCGTCACGAAGAACCGGTTCGATCCACGAAGATCCGGCGGGAGGCCAAGGTCGAGCCGCGGCGATTCAAACAAGATTGGGTCTAATTTAGGATAAGCTTCAATGATATCTTGTTCAGATTCTGCCTTTCTTTCCGTTTGGTCATTGTCTTCTCTGACATATAGAGACTTGAAATTCTCGAACAGGAAACGATCAACATCAGAAAGAGACGCAGCATCGTCGTTGTTGCTACTGCGTTTGGCTTGAGCTTCATTTCTTCGGAGATGATCAACGTCTACAGACAAGGTTTTAGGGTGCTTGCAGGCAGAGAAGATCCAATTTTTGGAGGAAGAGAAATTTATTTGGGGATTAGGGTTTCGTCTGAGCTTGGAGATGTAGTCATGGAGAGACTTTTGAAGCTTCTTAGGCATGATTGATGGTACTTGACGAGCTTGACGAGGTTCAGATGATTCAGCATTGGAGTGTGGTTTTATATACACTGAGAAGGACATGGAAGGAAATTAAATTAGGAAGGTGAGGAATTAAAATTAGGTTTAAAAATTAGAGTTTTTGTCGTATCAGGGAAAAGCAACAGGACAAGGTAGGGAGAAATTTGGTCTGAAGCATAATGCTTGGCCTAATTTCATTGAAAGTGGTAATAATGGGATTAAAAATGGAGGGTATAACATTCATATATTCGTTGACTAATATAGACAAGGGTCGTACCAAATTATGATGAATTTTTGAGACTAAATGAATAGGGGAAGATTTTATCTTATGATCTGATGAGAATTATGGTTTGCACAAGAAAGAGGAAAAAAATAGTAAGATAAGGATTGCTTCTCAGATTTGTTTTGGTGGCCATTATGTATGACCTTGATTTGAAACTTACATGGGTGATCAATTAATCGTGAATTTAATTAGTTATATACTATTATAAACGTTATATGAGTTTCTTTTTGATGTCGTGGGTTATAGGACTGTTATGAATTAGTCCGAGTTTGGAAGTGAATGGAATTTGAGTAAGCTGTTAAATCTTGGTCAATAAATAATGATTTTACAATTCAATTAAGACTGTATTAATCAATTATTCTGTTATTGTAAAAATTATATATTTTTATACTTGAAATAAAAAATCAAATATATTTTTTAAGAAAAAACGTTAAATATACCAAGAACTAAAATTGTTTATAAATTTCTTATGAATATTTTGTACAAAAAATGTCGATAAAATGCTGAAAGTAATATGATTTATTATAAATTCATATTAAATTATGACAAATAAAATAAGCTTGCAAGTTTTCGTAGATTGATGTTGGGAGTGGTGACAAGGTCGGTCAATACGCAATATGCAGTAAGGTTGCGCGTATAAATAAGTGTGGATGTTGCTGGTGACAAAAGAAAGTGTGGATTTTGACGACAAGATCGGTCAATACGAAGACGGTGTCGTTGATGTGGCCGAAGACTTGGGCGATGACAAGGCTCGCTATTGGGATGTGTCACGTCAGCTGCCATGCGACTCTGAAATAAGGCTGACGTGTCCAACAACATGTAAGTTCACATAATGGTGGCATGGTGATGTGGCTGATGACACGGATGCCTCACTGGATGCTAACTGGGTTTTTGGATGATGTGTCAGATGATGTCATGGTGATAAGGATGCTGACAAGGAAGACACCTCAACAAGAAAAGTGATGTGATGATGGCATGTCATGACATAGGGTGATGATGTGTACACAAAATGATGTGGTGATTGTTAATGACATGTCAGAATGACATGACAACTTTGGTTAACATAACTTATGACTTGAACATTAATAAATCTTGTATGGTGATGTGGTTAATGAAGTGGCCAAATGATATAACGTGGCCTGTGACATTTTGATGATGTGAAACATGACTTAGCTGATGAGTGTGCATATTGGGCGATGTAGCTTGCGATGTGTATGATGACAAGGATGGTGATTAGGACATTCATGGTGACGTGTTTGATGATTAGCATGGTGATGTGGAACATGACTAGGATGCATTAGGTGACGTGAATGATTACCTGGCAACGGACATCACACGGGACCGGGGAAGGCGGTGGTGACATGCGGTTGCAACAGTTAGAATTGGCGAATGAGAAGGGGTCAAACGTTTTTTTTTTTTTTATCTCTGTTTTTCTTTTTTAGGTTTTGGGCCCAAATGTGATCTCTTTTTTATTGGCGGAACAATCCCTTATTTTTGTGGATGCAATTTTTTTTATTTTGCAAAATCTCTCCGTATTTTAGCAATAGAAAGGAAAATTAGGAACTACTAAACGACGACGTCTTGAAACTACCAGAGTGGCCCTCTTCTTTATGGCGCGAGCACTGAGGACACAAGTCCCTCTCGTTCCATTTGTAACAGAAATAACAGAAACATGCAAAACGCACAGATAGAAAGAGAGGTGGCTTCCAGCCCCAGGAGCGCCGAAGGAAGACGAAAGAGGATCGCCGAGAGAGGTTCTGATCGTATGGCCTTGATTACAGGTCAGATCCAAACCCTTCCTCCGTTACCGCCACCGCCACCGCCCACTCCGTCGCCGCGATCGTCGCCTCGTTTCCATCTCCCTCCTCGTCACCTTCGCCCCGAATCTTTACCCGTTGAATTGTCTCAAGAATTCCACCCTGATCTCAGAAATACTCACTCTTTTTCTATCCCAGGTTCCTTACTAAAAATATATGAAAATTTCAGTCTTTCTGTTGTTAAATTTTTTTTGTATCGTCATGCTCGATACGAATGCTGAAATGCTGTCAATCGCGATACATGAATGCATTTCATAAGGATTAGTGTCTTCCATAGACGCAAACTATCATTTAATTTTCACCACAATAATGCGATCCTCTTCATTTCTGTTCAAAATGTACCTCCTATATGTTGTCCTTCTGCAAAAACTCACTGCAATATAACGACACTTTTGTGGAGAGTTTGAGAGAGAGAATGGTGCTTACAATATTGCATATATTTACTTGATTTACTGTTTAGCATTGTATATATATAGTGATGCAACTTGATTGCCTTAGCTTCAGATGAATTTTTGCCGTGGCTCCATGTTAATCATGGTTATCTTGTCATAATGACTTCAGAAAATTACATGTACTATTTATGAACCAGGAAAACTGTTCTTTAATTTAATTTTGACTGTACAAATTAAAGACCTCCATCATGGAAATAAGGAAGTAATTTTGGGAGGTAAATACTGCATAATTGCATCTAATTTGTGAATTCATTGGGATTTGCAGCTAGTGAAGAAGCCAAAGAAGGCTCTAGATTTTCTTCAAGGCTGAGACACCAGTCTGGATTCAAGATTCCAAAGCAAAAGAACTTCGAGGTCACAAGTGAAGAGGAATCTCTACTCCAGGATTCTAATAATGCTTATGCAGAAGCCACCAAACATCAAGTTGATTCTGTGAATGATGATTCCAACATGAAATCAACTCTAGACACACTATCACATCTAAGTCAGTGCAATTATTTTCATCTTACGCTTAAATATACTTCTAGAAACAATTCACTTTAATTTCACTTTTATTATTCCACTTGTTTCAACCACATAAATCCGTCTCTTACTCTAAAGAAACTGGTCTCATAAAAAATCGTTTCATTTTAAAACTTAGGAACCAAATTGAACATTTTTCTGATATTAGTGTGATCGCGATCAAAACTATACTTAAATTTACGTTGGGCATAAATGCATCTAACTAAATTCATTTGGCTTCTCAGATGCTGCCGCTTCTTCTGATGATGAGGATAATTCCAATCCTTCTGGTTATTCTAGTAGGCAAAATCTGGGTGGAATTAAGTTTTCAAAAAGAAGCAATTTCCATATCAGAACTAAAGTTAAGCCCCTTACACAGGATTCTGATATTATTCATGAAGAAGAGAAAGAACAAGAGGTCGTGAAATCATCTTCAGCCACTCCAAGAGCTCAAAATAAACCATCTGATGGCAAAAAGAAGAACCAAAAACCTGTCAGCTTCAACCCCACTCTCTTCTCTTCAAGAGAAATAAATTCTAGCATCATTGCTTCTGAGACATTCCGCGCTTTCTGTGCTCTGATCATAGCAGTGCTAGTAGTCTTGTGCTATATGATCTCTGAGGAAATTGCAGCTATAAGGCCTCTTTTTATTGTTTTATTAAACGATGTAACAATTGTGCTTGCTCGAGTGCACATGGAGAAGATAAGAGCATCAGAGGAAGAAGAAGGGGGAGAAAAAGTTGAAGCTAATAATGAACTTGGGCATGATTGGACTGGAGTTAAACTTTTGGAGAGAGGTTTGGTGGCTTACCAGGCCATTAGAGGTATTTTTATTGACTGCAGCGTTTATTTAGTGATTGTCATTTCTTGTGTATCCTTGATGAAGTAGTTCTGGATGCTTTAGTTAGGTTCTTGAAAGCCCCCCCCCCCCCAAAACAACAACAACAAAATTTCTCGTACAAGCAAGTGCTTATAACAAGTTTGTGGTAAATTTTTTATTTGTTCTTAGGATTTTCGGGACAAAATAATTTGACTCTATTTTGTAACGTGCTACAATGTTATTGCTGAGATCTACCAAATGTATTTGTTCATCTCTCAAAGAGACTGTGAACCTAAGCTTCTGTAATCTAATGCCCAAATGATCACACATGTGGACAGAGGATATAAGGGCTGAAGTATGGACACCTAATAGTAAAAGCATGTTTTGGAACCAATACATATGATAAAGGACAGAGTTAGCGCTCAGCACTAACCCTGAAGATGTAAAGCTTCGTTGATCTCATATAACGGTCAGGGATTATAGCGAGCAGTTGCTCTCAACTACTTTTGGTAAATCAAGCAAGGATTGCCAGCATCTGGTATTATCCAATCCAAAAAAAAAAAAAGGTAAGCTTTCACTTCAGTGGAGATAGAAAGTCGTTTATCAATTCCCAATGTGACACACTAGAAGAAGGCTGTCCATGTTCTATATCTTGATTCGGAAATATCACTTTCAGAAGTACGGATACATAAGCTCTCGCTTTCAGATCAGATGTGTGAGAAGTTTAATTACAAAGCATCAGACTAATGTCCAATCTTGATCCAACTAGTGATCGCCTGAGGGACGACCTGACTGAGAATGGGTGATACTCCGCTAACTTTCACAGATTGAAAGAAAAAGTTTTTCCAAGGGTGTTCTATTTAGATCAAATCTCCACTGCTTAAACAGACCTCAGTAGAGGGTCAGCCGGAAAATGGGGCCCCAACAAGTGCATTTTCTTTTTCTTACATTGGTATTTACTGTTTCTCACAAAGAGCCATTGCAACCACCAGTTCAACTAACAAGAGAATTATACCAACTTAATCAGAAATTTCGACCTCGAGTTTTGGGAATGTAGCAGCTTTAGTAGTAGAGCTTCCACTTGACCTGGTTGGATCTGGATTATCCTGGGCCCATTAAAATCTCTCAGTTCAAGGAGTGGCAGGTACAGGATATTGGGTGTACCACAGGAAAAAAAGAAAAAAAAAAAAAGTAGCAGTTGCTTGTTAGGAAGCGAGCTTAATCTTAAGTTACGAGAAAGGATCCTAAGGTTAAGCTCACAAGACAAAGCGAGTTACGTTCTCTTTGAACTGAGAGAACGTAACGAGAGTGTCTTTGTCCCCAAAGTTCGACTTATTTTCTCCGATCAGATTGGGACTGGAGACCAAGAATTCAAATTGTGACTAGGTAAAGGGAAGCTCGCCATTTTTAATGGTAACCATAACATCCTGTTTTCTAGTCATTTTACAAGCAAGAACAGAGGAAGGGGAAACTGAAGTCCTCAACTGTACAAAAAGTACTTAGAAGGAGGAGGAGATAAAATAATAATCTAAGTTAATATATCAACAATTAGGAATGAAATGATTTCAACTCTACTTAGAGGTTTGCTTTTAATCATTATATCATTTTCAATATATTGCAATTATCCTAATGGGATTTCCAAAATCTATGGCCAGCATAGCTCTAAACACTTGGAAGTTAACACTCCAAGAGCCAGCCTTAACACTAGTAATGGCAAGAAAGCCTGTAATTAGCTTAACCGTAGGAGAAAAGGATGAAGAAATAGAAGAATATGAAATGTAAAACATCAGAGAAAATTACTGACATAACATTACCAAGATAGCCGAATCTATTTACAGGCTACAGATGCTTCTAGAAGAATCTCAAAACAACACTAAGTTTCTCTTCTGCTTCCTCCACTCATTTCACAGATCCTGGAAGGCACAGCAAAACGAGCTGAGAAAGAGCGAGAAACGCTGTCTGGATCGTTGGAATGGCAATCATCGAAGTTCTGTGAGTAGGAATCAGGATCATATTGGACATGACCTGAAGAACGGCTGAAAAATCTCTTCTTTTTCCTTAAGATCTTCCTCCACAGTGATTTCCACCTTGACATCTTCAACCTGCTCATAAATTCACTGACCCAGAGAGAGTGGTTTTTGTCAATTCTTATATAACTCGGATTGTCATCGCTATTTCTGGCGATTAAACAGTTGCAATTCTGAAGGTTCATGGTATCTAGAACATAGAACGAAGAAGCATAAATGGTTTTGGAACCAAGGTGTTTGAAGTGCATGCACTTTACTATCATAAAAATAAGTATAAACATCAAATTTGATCCCATAGGTTCGTCTGTTTAAGAATTTTGCCTCCATGAATAGGATGCAAATGAAGACAGGTTTATGGAAATAAACAAAGAACCAAACTTGATTGGTTGCGTGGGGTACTTAAAAGGGAGTCAGAAACGGAATTGAAATTTATATGACTTTTTGAGGTTAGCTATGGCATTAAAAATATGTGAGTCTTATATCAAATATGTGTGTGTGTGTGTGTGTGTGTGTGTGTGTGTGTGAGAGTCACGAGGGACATGGGGCCTTGTTTGGTGCAGTGAGTTACTTGGGGGCAAAGCATGCGGATCAACCCTGGAATTGTGTTGTATAATAATGTTGTTTAAATACAGAGAAATTTCTGGTCTCAGTGTATCTGATGTGCCAAGATGTTATTAGCACAGTTGTATAAGGTTTATTATAAAAAGTTGCATCAGGCCAAAAAAAACAAATTGTAAAAAGTTCCTCATTTATTTTTCAATGAAGTAAGGTGTCATTTTGCATTTTCGGTCTATCGAGGAGTCAAAAATAAAACCGAATCCTGGAATCAAGCAATGATTTAGGGTTGAAGGCATTTTATTGGTAAGCTTGTTGAAGCCAATCGTCCGTAGATGACCAGTTAAAAAGTTGATAAACTGTTTCATTGATTCTTGTCTTCTGTTATTCCTTCGGGTTTCGATTGGTCTTTTCTTTAAGCTCAAAGGCTTTGATTTGGCAGTTAAATTTTTCTCTACGCAATAGATTTGCTATGGGAAGTGTAAAAGAGGAAAGCCGGTTGAACTTGTCTCTAGCTAATAAAAAAAAGCACAAGACGTTGCAGGAGGACATTCACGAACTAATTTTCAAGAATAAGGCTGTCCCTTGAGTTAGATAACATGAGTTAACTCATATACTCCATATGAAGCACAAGAACCACAGTCTAATTTGTTCTAATAATTCAATACTCAATACCATCTGTTAATTTGGGATCAGAAAGGAGACTCTTCCTTGTGCTTCATTCTCTATAGTTTATACCCTCCTTCTCAAAATTCAGGCTAGGGAAATTTGTAAAAATTCCACAAATGAATAAATAAATTATTGAATAAAACACGATTATGTATTGCAATACATGTTTCTTGCTCTCATATTGATGGATGTGATGTCCGAGTCCGAGTTTCACTTGTTCAGTAATATAGTAGTCAGGCTGCTGATTTTAGGTTCCACAAAAATGAAAATTAAATGAACACTCTCCTGCCTTGCTCTTCAAGTTAAATTTCTCACTAGTGTCTTTGATCCATGGTCGATTTCATCATTTTGTTCTCTCTTAACACACAGAATTTTGATCAACCTAGGCTTATGGCATGGCCTGAACATGAGATCATTCATCATTCAGCCATACTTCCGCTTCAATAAATTGATTAATAATAAAAAACAAAGCAAGAGAAGTCTCTCTCTTATACGTAACCATGTTTTCTGCATAGTAAATTGAGAAGGATCGTTTATTCTAATAACTCAAACCCTTATCTTCAGCTTGCTGCTTGTTCAACTAATCAAGAAGATCTACACGAACTATTTTACAAATATATAACAAAAAGGCTAGACAATAAAGTATTTCAATTAAAAATAATAATAATAATTTTGCATACCGTGTAAGGGACAACAATCCATTGAGTTTCTTACAGATTTGCAATTGTATGAAAATTACATGCAGCTCCATTAACAGGGACAGAATATTTCAGGACTCATACCAAACGTGCAATAGGCAGTGTATAAAACAGAAAAGAACGTTGTATATATTTCAAAAAAAAAAAAACGCCAATGCTCATGGCGAGCTCTGGCTCGTATTTAGGTTCTGTGATATATACCTCAGCTCGCTGTACATTTTGGAACATTCAGAAGAAAAATCTGCCATTTTTCTGAAGAGCTCTGGCAACCGACTTCTGATACTTACCAAGGACTTCTGCCTCACCTGATGGCATTGCCTTTCATAGGCTTCTTCGTCCTGTTCTAATCTCTTCTTCACTTGGTCAACCACAGACTGCTTTTCTGTAACAACTTCATCAGGAGCATAATTACCTTTTGGCCTGTCTAGATCAGGCTCATCTGGTATTTTCCTTTCCATATACTTGTGATGCCAGTCTCGGAAATGCCTCTCTTTGCGGGCAAGCTCCTTTTGTGTTTCCTCATATTTTTGCTTCAAATGCATCTCTTCTGCTTGTAGTTGGAAAATAGTATCAATGACAGCAGCCATGTTGGATATAGCCATTCTAGCGGCTTCATCAGGAAGTTTTTCCAGGAACTCCTGCCAAGCAAGAAGGAGTCGCTGTACCGGGGGCCTCTTAACTGTTGGTGGGGAGGAAACCTTTTCCTTCAGATTGCTCTCAACAGGGATAAGATTTAACTTCAACCAATTGTTTAGGGCCTTTACGTACCTCCTTTGATTGCTCATTAGCTTCTCAAATTGTGAATGCCACTCTTGCATGACAACCAGTAGTTGATATGTTCGATCATGATGATGCTCAGTTGTCATCTTAGGTGACTGGGAATCGTCCAGAGATCCCAATGCCAGCACAATATTCGACTGCTTCTCATGGTGTTCATGCATTTTTCCCCACATGATGGCCATCCTGAAAACCGTAAAAAACCATCAATATCTGTAGAAAGTTTTTTGCACTCTGTTCATGAGTTTGAGTGCTTGAACTAATCTGAGCTTAGTGCAAATAGGACTACTAAAGAATCAGAGTTCTTACCCAAAAAAAGCTGTCTAGAGAAATTTAAAGCCTGTGACCTCAGACTACTGTTATTGAATACATTTGGGTACCAAAGCAAACCAGTTAAAAAAAATTCTTCAAAGAAAATTCAACTCTTGCAACTCTAAATTAAGTTATATGATACTGGTTCAGCTCAACACTAAGTCCACCTCAGGGTTACTATTAGTAGGAATATGAAACATAACTTCACTGATAAATTTATTGCATAATTATCTGATGGAATAATATTTTAAACTAATTTCTATGCTACAGCTCACCCATCAACTAGCTGGACAAGTCTTGGGTACAACTGCTCATCACGTAAACGGTTAATTTCAGCAACTGTTGAGTCCATAGACTGCATATCTACTATGTATCTTGTATGCAAATGACTGACGGTTGCTTTTGCTCTCTCCAGTGCATCAGAGCTTTTACCTCTTTTCTTTAGCTTATTAAGAGAGGAAACCTTTCTTTGGTATTCGAATTTCATCAGTTCACCTGCCTAACAAACAATATTAAGCAGCAAATTTCAGAATAGACAAAAAATAAATAAATAAAAACTGCATGACAGCACTATAAACCTAGAACCTTGCAGATAGATAAACAGGTACCGAAAAGCAAAGGAGAGGTATACTAAAGAACAAAAACTTTCCAAGTCAAGGTCATATTTGTATGGATTAATGACTGAATAGTTAGAACAATGTGACACTTCGTAAAATGTTCCGTAATCCCTAATAACTGAATCAATGCAGGGATAGAACATAATGCTGATGATGTGATGCACATGTTCCAAAGATGGACCTTAGAGCTATATGAATAAATATATAAGAAAATTACATGGACTAAAAAGAAAATGCAAGGTGAATCCCTATGACAAAATTTGACTATTGTAACACACTGCAGCTTACCTTTACTTCATCATAAAGTTTCTTCTCCCATGCAAGCAACTTGTCTAAAACAGTAGCATGAGTGTCATACCCTTCTGGGTCAAAATCATCCTTCCCATCATCCATATTAGGCATCCCTCTAAAGGATCGATTCCATGTTATAACTCGCATCAACCTCGCAGAATGGTCAATGTGCCCTGCCAAAGGAAAAAAGGACTTGAGCATGATCATAATCCACTTTTAAGGACAAATATGCAAAAAAGAACACTGAGAAATAGATACAAACATCGTTTATCACAGTTTTAGTGAGATTTGTTTTGCTTTGATATATGCAGCGTACCCGCCTATTTATATTAACTCTTCATTATTTTCAAGGATTAACCTCATCGTCCTTCGTTACTATCCATTCTCGTCAATTTATGTTAAAACATTTCTTTAACAGAACAACAATTCCTCAGACAAGTATGAAATACAGTCTAAAGATTACATTAACCAAGTTTGTACTTTTGAAACCCAAAAACACTCGAAAAGAGTTTTCAATTCAGAGATAGGAAATCCAAGACGTTACCTCTATTATCAGCGAAATTGGAGTGATAGTGCATCCGCGTGGCCTCGAGCATCTTTGAAACTTCACGAGCACTTTCCGATGCCTTCAGAAACTGGTCATCAAGTTCATTGAATATCTTTATCAGATTCACTTTCTGTTTCACAATATTCCCCTCCATAATCGAAAGGTGTCCCTGCTTCGTCTTCTTCGAACTCTTCACATTGTTTGCCGCCACCATAGCCTCCTGCGGCGCCGGTGACGGCTCCACTACATTCTCCATCGGAGGTACAGGTTCCGGCACCTCATCATTTCTACCTCTCACAATATTGGGCTTCTCGTTCAATTCCTTCCTCTCAATTTCCTCTTTATTGATGCTAACTTCTTCTGCGGCGCTCAAGCTCGTTCCTGGCGTATTCTCCGCCGTCGGAAAAAAGTATTCCCAAGTATCCTGATGCGGCGGAGGCATAGGATGATTTGTTTCTAATTGAGTCGCTGGTATTGATTTTGGTAGAGGAGGAGGAGCAGGAGGCCGAGCCTCTTCTTCTTCTTCTTCAACCATCTCCTTAGTCCCACCTCTACTACTCCCGCCACTATTTCTATTACTTCTCCTTCTCCTTAATCTACTATTCAAAGCACCATCGTTCTCCAAATCTTTATCCTCTTCCTCCTCCTCGATTATGGTCACGACCGGTTCCAATCGGGGTTTCGAGATCATCTCGGGCATAGTCGCAGCACGCTGAAGAGGAGCGGGAGTGGGAATATTGTGGGGTGGAGGAGGTGGCGGAGGGATTTCGAAGGGTGGTTGCATCGGGATCGAGGAATTAGGGATAGTCGCCGGACCGAATTCGGGGTTTTGAACCTCGCCTTGGGAGAAGTCGCTGAGGGCGGCGCCGGTGTTCTTGAGAGAGGTCGCGTAGGAGGAGTGAGCGGCAGCGAAGGCATTTCGCGCCGAGACAGCCTCTTTGATGAAGCGCTTGCGCTCTTTGCATCGGGCCCTGCTTCTTCGTTCTCTATCTTCGATTGCGTACAACCCATTGTGATCGGATAGCTAATCGGAAGGATGGAGATTTCACTGAATTCGAAGCAAAATTGATCATGAAGAAGTAAGTACATATGGACTCTGAGACAGTTGGAGTTTTTAGAGAGAGAATCTGACTTTGAGAGAGAGAGAGAGAGAGAGAGTGAAGGAAAAAGTTGGAATTGCACATTACGAGAAGCGTGATAACGACGCCAAGGCGCCGCCAAGATGGGGGTTCTAATGCAATGTAACGACAGCGTTTCCGGGTGCACCAATCTCAGAGAAATGAGCGTATAAGAAAACGATGAACATATCACAGTTCACACCTGAGGACCCATTAAATCTTAATCGTCAATTAATTTTTTTTTTAATTACACTCGAGAATAGAATATTACACTTGATAGACACAAACAATTGAAAAGACCCTCTATTCTAGTGCATTCCGGGTGCACCAATCTCAGAGAAATGAGAATATAAGAAGGGGCCAAAAGACAATTCACCTTTGGATTTGGATGGCCATTGATAGAATAATAGAAAAATCATCTAAAAGTCTTAAATAAAGAATTTAATTATTTATTGGTCCTATTCACATGTTAATATGCAGTATTACATGTAATTGACATTTTTATTATTTTGTCACAAACAAGATTTATTAGTAAATTAAATTAAATTCTTTATTTAGAACTTTTCTGTCTTTGTTTAAATAATTTACATTAACACTCCCTCCCTCCTTATATATAAAAGCTAGTTGAAAAATTTATTCTCATTCTAAATATAATATCTCAATCTTCTTTATTTCCCAACATTTATTTTTCCTAAACTGTCATTGCACGTGTTAGTGTGTGCTAATGGAGATCATTTTATTATAAATAATTAAAATTTTAGTATTTTTATAAAAGTTGACACGTATGTTTACAAATAACTAATGTAATAGTTTTGATTATAAAAAAACTAATGTACTAATTTTCAAATCTATATGAAATTAGTTATCTAGTTTTAAAATTTAGGAAAAAATTTCAGGTGGAGACCCTAAATTAGAACAATAGAAAAGAAGATTCCTAAATTTTCTAAATTTCATTGAAAGACACATACAGATTTTTGTTTGAATATGTAATAAAGATAATAAAATTATCATCATTTAAATGAACAATATAAATAATTTATTTATTTTTATATCATATATTGTTACTTAAAAAATGTTGTTTGTTTTCTTACTTCATTTATTTATAACTCTAGTTTCACTTAATTTCATTTCAATTGTTAATTTTATGATAAAATAACTTGTTCGTTCCCCTACTGTATTTATTTATGTAATGTTATTTATTTTTTTACTTTACTAGTTTATGATCCTGAAATAAAATTAAGTGAAAGCAAGACTATAAATAAGTAAAATAAAAAAATAAATAATATTTTATAAATAAATAAATAATATATAGTATAAAATAAATAAATTATTTATATTATTTATTTAAATGAGTATAATTTTATTATTTATTTTATAAATAAAAGTTCGTGTTGGTCTTTCAATAAAATTTTAGAAATTTAGGAATTGTATTTTATTATCTCCGGTGGTGCCACTGAACTTTTTCCTAAAATTAAGTATAAACTTATTTTACGATGAGAGAGAGAGAGAGAATAAAGTTGTGCACGTGAAAGGGACCCACAAAAACACAAAGATGCCAACGGCCAACAGCATGTAAAGATGGTAAGTGAAGTATAAACTTCACTGGCTTTGTCGTAAGCCAGGTGCGGTACCCCATTTATTTAATTCTTATTTATTAAAATAAGAAGGAAAGAAAAGGACAATGAAGAATCTTCCTTCTTTTTTACTTTTCATTCTCATCAATTTTTCCTTTTTCTAATACTTGGCCTTGAAGGAACCAAAATGGAGGAAAATGGAAATCAAGAGAGCCTAATGTTTATGAATTTTAAATTAAAAAATTACAAAAGGTTTTATTATTTTAGCAATATCAATTATTATTATTTTTAAAAAAATATAACAATATTTATATTCTTTAAAATAAACATGATTTTATAATTTACAAGAGATTGAGAGATCACATAGTTGACTACATTATTGTAAATATTTCCTTAAAAACAGTAATATGATTATATTTTATATTATTTTCAATCTATAATTTTTAAAATGCATTTTAATTTTGATTTTTTAAAGTTTAAGACACAAATTTTGAGTTTTCTACATTTTTAAATATTTCAAAAATTATATTTTATATTTTTTGATAATAATAAACATAATTCATTTTGAAGTAAAAATTGAAATTAAAATTTGTCTAACAAATAAAAAAATTAAAAATTCAGATATTTGGACTAGCTTAAATAAATTCGAAGCTCAAAAGTATTTAAGTTAGATTTAAACTATATAATTTTTTTAAAAAAATAAATTTAAGCATATTCGAACCAGTTCAAATTGAGCTTTATCAGAATAAACCAACCCCCTACATCAAACTAGGAAAGTGAGGAATTGTACAATATCCAATTTTACGCTAAAACACTTGCATCGGATAGATTTTCCTTTTCTTGATGCTTTTTCATATCCCTGAAATCCTAGACAACTTGAATAATTCCCATAATCATTCTAATATCTTAATCCGTTCATCACTATTAGTTAGCTTATTTAACCAGTGCATCAAGCCAGCCTTAATATCATTGAACTCTCTTGATTTAATTGACAGGTCTGAGGCAAACTAAACCGCCCTTGGAAAATGACACTGCAGAAAACATGATCATCATTTTTCTGTCTGAGCTAAACGGACAAAAGTCTGGGTTGGGAACATGATGTTTCCTTAAAATATCCGACGCAGGAATATCAAGATAGAAGAATAGTTCTCATTGGAAGAGACATTGTCACGATTATGCAATCCATGAAAATTCTGCATTCTCTTGGTAGTAAATTGAAACCGAACTTTGTAGACAAAAAAATTGAGACCAGCACTATTTTTGGGCCCAAAAATTCCATTTCATCAAAGGCTCCTTCCTTTTCCTTATTTCGTTCCAATTTCCTGAAAATAATAATCATAATAATAATCCCAACTTGCCAAACAAGTCTTTCTATTGTAGCTTTTTGAACATGCCACACAATTTCCTTTTCTCAAGATTCCACACAATAGTCGGGAACATATCTAGTTGTCTTCTGAAAGTGAACGCACAAGTGAGAAAGGAACAACTATTTTCATTAGGGAGCCTGCTAAAATGGGCACAGAAGTCAGGAGTTTAATGCATCCTCAGTCCGCCATGAATATCTCTGGTCCAGAACTATGTTTTGGCGTACAGCATTTGATCTCCCAAAGCTCAACATCATGTCCTCTTTCATACTCTCTCACGTATTGTGGAATTTGAGCAATGTCAATATGCTTCCCCACAAAATAAGGCATGGGCTCGGAGCCAGGGCATTCCATTTCTGCAATTTAATTCTAGCGTTATATGTAATGACCAATTGATCTTAAACTTTCTTTCCTTTTCAAAAATGCAAAATATATTTTCCATAATTTCAGGATGCTGATAGAGCTCATGATTTTACTAAGACCTATAAGAGGAAATCAAGGAAGGCAAGAGGTTAAAAGATAACATTATTGTTGGTTCAGATGTTTGCCCTTCGGATCCTGGTTATGAGGGGAAAAAAGAAAGTAATTGATGGCCTAGTGATGTGCTAGAGTGCTAGTGATGGTTAAGGGTCTTCTGAGGGTAAGGGCTGTGCTAGAGTCACTTTTTAGGTCTTTAAATCTTTCTCCTTGCCTAGAGAGGGGGGTTATTTTGAATATTGAGAGTGGTAAGGAGAGCTCTGGCCTCTCGAATGCCAGGTTGTGGGTGGAGGAAGTCATCTTTCTTCATCATTTTATCTTCTGTTTAGTGTATGTTTGTAAGTGAGTGACTTATATTTTGTGATTGTTGTTTGGTGGAGTGTATTTTGTGCTGTTTCTGTTTCAGTACGTTGTAATTTTCAGTTCCTTATTTCGCTGTAATCCAACTTTGCTATTCGGTAATAGTAATTTTCAGTCCCCATTTGTGGTGTAGTTTCTGGTTTATGCTTGTTTAAAGCTTATTAGAATAGAGGATTCCATCAGATGCTCTTACCATTATCATCCTTGAGATAACTACGAAAATGCGAATAACCATTTGCAACAACATCAAGGTCAGAAAGACTGAAGTTGTAGCGCTTCTCCAGCGCCATGTACAACACCTAGGAACAGAAAGGAACATCATTCATTATTTTTAGAAGGAAAAAAAAATATTATTGCAAAGAAGTACTCAAGAGGGACCATGAGTCATATAAGCTTTTCACCTAAGAGTGGTGGCAGTGCATGTTGATATGGATAAGACCCTCCTCCCTTCCCCTTTCCTACGTGAAATTTAAAAAAAAAAAAAAAACAAATACCACTACCCAATAGAATAAGGATGCTGCCAAAAAAAGCCATAATGAACAATTTCATTATACGTGAAATAATTCAAATTATTCATAAGCACTTCAAAATTTTGTGTTGCTGTGTCTCTGAAAGCTTTTGACATGTGTCTACTACCCAAACATACAAATCCATTCGATTATTTTCCTTCAAAACCCATAAGATATTTCAGGCACAAAAAGTAACACGTATAGAACACATATACATACCGCATTATCAAATCCTGGTAGGGCCATAAACACGTACCTTCCTCGAGCCCCTTGACATTAATCTCTTTAAGGTACTGAAAAATGCATCAGTCAGGTCATCACTATAAATAACATCAGCAGCCAGCAGAAACAAAGCATTCTCTGCTTGTTCAATCTCCCTAGAGGTCCAAGAAAAACTGGATAACACCCAAATAAATGTGATACACAAGTCAGGCAAAAGTTTAAAAAAGTGATGTTCCTCCCATACATCAAATCTCTAATAAAACGAAAAAAGTTTACCCCTGACTGAAAGGAGCCTCTTCTATGCTTGCTTCAGGAGGCCAGCCATTGAACCAATCAAGTTCACGCACACAAATTGCAGCTTCACAATTCAGTAATCCAGCATTAAGCTGAACATTCTTAGCACAGTTCTCAAGTATTTCATTGCCATGGTCTAACCAAGGATTATAAATGTTAGCCTTCTAACTAAACCATTAACCTTTGAAAAACAAGACATAAAGGAAATTAAACAAGGTTCTTAAAAATGTGACTAGTTAACTTCACAATTTAAATATATACATATATATGCATTAGACGCATATCTATAATTTTGAAACATAGTTCCCACTGGCAAGTGCCAGTGAATAAAATTCTCTGCCACTGATATATGATAAATAGATGAGCTGGGCATGCAGCACTTGAATACTTAAACAAACCATAGAGCAACAATTCTGCCTATCTAAAGTAGTTTGGCACTGGAAGCTCCTGTTGTTAAAAGAGATTGAAGGGAAGGTAACAATTCTATGGCAGGTAATCAGCATTATCTCCAATATCACAAGACTCGTTATTTATTTTTGAACAAAAATAGTTGCTTAACTTATTCTCTGTTATTTGTCTTTTCCAGATTTAGCTTCCATTTGAATATCATATTTAAATAGAAGATACATTGATAATCTAAAACTACGTTTAACTGCAGACTAAATGGAATGCATGCAGGTATTATGTCAAGGCTCCCCATAAACAGGCTTTCGATCTGAAATGCCAATTTGTTTTACTATTCATCATTGGCGATTAAAAAGGAGAAGGAAAGACAAATACATGTCATAGGTAACAACATTCAAATAAGAGAAGGCACCTTACCTGTTAGGAATACTGTATTCGCACAACGTGAAAGCAATAAGCCAACCATGCCTGGTAAAGGTGTTGAAAACTAAAAATCATACATCAACAAAGGGACATAATGTAACCCCAATTTCCTTGTTCTTTACAAGTGACCATGTTCTTTCAAATTAAGGGTTTTGACATCTGAAAGAAAAATATTTAATTATTGAACTCCAAAGATAAAATTAAATAACAGCAGTGATGCAAAAATGTTGATGCAAGCTGCCATAGGTCCTTCAATTTCAAAGTAAGGATGGACTCAAGACAAAGCAAAAGGAATAAGATTCTTCCATCCCCTCTGGCAAAATTGAAGTTAGAATCAGTTTCCACGCTTGCACATGTAACTATAAAACAAAGCAAGCTTCAAGCTTATTAGAGCACTGGGGTAGACCGTAGCCATAGGTTTCCATAAGACAAGAAGAGAACAAAAATTTAAGTAAACTGATATACATACCAGTCCCAGCACCAAGCTCCAATGCTATCACTCCATGAAATTCTGGCGAAGATACTATTTTGTGCAGTACAAAATCAGATAATACTAATTCTGCTCTCCAAATCTGAAGAGTTATATTATTAAAAAAAAAAAAATATATATATATAAGCAAAACTGAAAGCATAACTAGAAATTTTTCATGAAATTGATTATATTTACTATTACCTGCAGACCAACGTTTGGAATTGATGATGTGATATTATGTTGGATACTCAAACTACAGCTATCACTTGGAACCTCTGAACTAACTTGAACAACAAACACTCTTACATAAGTAGCATATCTAATGTGCGAAAATGGCAACACAAAAAACAACCATCCATTAGCCTTAGCACAGACTTAGGTTTGACCACAAACATTAACCAGGTTGTCCATGTGCATGCATAATAAAGTTCCACATAAAACAGTGTTTCTACATGACTTTTCCACGATCTTTTTTCCCCAGAAATTCTTTCACTTTTTATGTTGGTAAGCTATATGCACCAGAAGGATTTCAAATTAGGTCCACCCAACATCATTGTTATCAATAGGGAAGAAGGTTAAAATGCAATCAGACTGAGAGTTCAAAGACCATTGTTTTCTGACACCTTCTGAAAGACATTCTTTCACCTCATTTATATATAAAGAATGGCCATCTATATTCAACATAGAAGCTCCGAATCACAGAAACCCAATCAAACTTCCCTCTTTAAATGGTACAAGCAACGACTTTAATTTTCTGGTCATGTAGGTTCAGCACAAATTACTCCCTGTACTTATCAATCTTCCTGCCCCAAATTATTGAGAGAGGCTGAAAAATGAAATCGAAAATTTTCACATTGAAAACAAAATCTAAGGTTGTTTATTTATGAAGGCTCTCAACCAAGTAAAGGTTTAAGTTCTCTATAAGCATGAGCCTGGCAAGAACTCCATTTCATAAGAAATTCATTAAATGCATTCAGGAGCTTACGGGCACGTCGAGGAAGAACAAGGTCACCATCTTCATCCAACTCCATAACTGGACTTGCTATTGCTTCATCTTGCAACTCATGACTGTGTCTGTTGTGAGCAACATCTAAATAATTAGAAATATATAAGGACTCCATTTCCAAGTTTTTAGTGAGTTTCAGAATGAGATATTGCATGTAAGTCACAATAAATATGGTGGTAATGAAATTTTTTACTCATCACAAACAAACAGCACCATGATGTGCTCATATATACAGGAAAAAACTACTATATCAGTTTTAGTAGATTGGCCTACCACATAGAACCCATACTACTCCGATCAAATTAAAGAAATTGATGACCAGTTCTTGTCTGTTTGCAAGCCAAACCCTAAGTACTGAACTGGGGACTTTAGTAGGTCTAGCTTTCAGCTTGAAAGGACTCTAGAACAGGTAGAAACAACGGTGTTCAGGTTGTATGGTTAGCAGTTTAGCATTATATACACCATTTAAAACTTGTAATAATCATGAGTTCACAGGTAATGACATTTTCCATTAGTCTATTCGACAATTAGAATAATGCAAGAATTTTGTCCAACAGATACAAAATGAAACATTTTTAACAGTGATCCAAAGTCCAAACATCGCAGTAATATAACAGTCAGCTAAGAAGGTACTTGAGTTTTTTGCTTGACACAACAGTGAACTAAAACGAAAAAATCTGTGAGTATGGTCCAATTCCGTTAATGAAGTTCGCAGCTAGTGGAGATTCACTATACCGTGGGGGAGACAAATGGTGAAATGGGATATATAGGGTCCGGAGAAACCAGGTGGACAACCTAGGTGAACCTCGCTCATCACCTGCTCCTCCTTTTCCTCTCCATCGCCGTCGTTTTCCTTCGTTAAGACGTCTTGCGTTTCTTCTTCCATTGACGACGGCGGAGCTGAAGAGTAAGTTCCACTCACCATCGTCACAAAGGCAAAGATCGAAAATTTCCTTCGAGTTCTGATTTTTCTTCGTCAATCCGCAGTTGATTATCCCTCAGCTCTTTGACGTCACTAATCATATAAAACGGCAACTTATTTAAAACGACGCCTGAGCATGAAACATGAGATGCCGACTGCTGGCTATGGCGAGTAATCTCACTGATTTTACAGACTAACCCAAACATTTTTTAGTTTTTCTTGTATAAATAATATACGAGGTCAAATTGTCAAAAAAAAAAAAATCCTGACAAGCAAATTAATTGCTAAAAGGCAGTTGGAGAGTTTCGAAAAATGAGTTCCCTTTGTGTCATTATTGTTTTGTTGTTAAAAGATCAAAATGTCCCTGGCAAATAAGATTTGAAAATCAAAAGAAAAAAACAAGCATTTGATAGCGGCTGGCGCGAGCGGTGCAACGGACGAAGGAAGAAGGGGAAGAATTGGAAGCACCAATGGCCGCTTAACTTGTTTGCGAGTTGAGGAAAAATCAGGCAATATGAAGGCGACAGTGATACTCAGGCGACATTAGCAGCAGCATTGGAGTTTCGGCGACCTTGAGTCGAAGGTGTTATTTAATACTTTTTGTGTATATTTGAATTAAAAAATTTATAATTGAAGTTAGGATTCAATTGAAAGTAGCAAGTTGAGATTAAAAAAAAAATCTATAATTTTAACGTAATTTATATTTGGATACTTTTTTTTTATAAGTTAGTTGAATAAATTAAAAATTATTTAGATAATTTAATTCAAAAATCAATTAAAATATATAATGACAAAAATGTGTATAAATTTTGTTGTCTATATTTTTGTGACCAATTTGATATTTTTAGAAAAAAAATCATAAACTTTAGATTGCATTTAAAAGTTAGACTTAAAATATCTAAAATTAATTAATTGTTTAAAAATCAAAATTTTTAAAAAGAGCATGAATGAAATGATAAATTATGGTCTATATATAATTAAAATTTAATAAATAGTGTAATTTGATCTTCTTTAAAAAAAATTAAACTTTAAATTTAAATTTAGAAAAACAATACATATATAAAAATGAGGTTTTAAGTATTAACTATTAACTATTATTTATAATATTGGATTACTTTTGCAGAAGCACCAGTAGTTAGATCTCAACCTCGCCAAATGCTATATTTCACCGACACCGCCTTCTTTGACCTCATTTGCAACATTTTTATGGGCACCACCTTTGCCGTTGACAACACGTTCCTTCTCTTCTCTACTTACCTTGTCTTCTCCATACAGGTCGGCTTTGCCATGCTTTAAGCTGTCTCGGTTCGTGCCAAAAACACCATGAGCACTAGTTCAGTCGACGGAAGATCGGACAGCAACAACAATAGTGAGCATAATCTTTAGTCAGATTTACGGCAAGGGATCAGATGGCGGCGAGCACACTCGTGAAAGTAGAGACCTGTGAAGGTAGAGGAGAAGAAATCATGCCACTCGTGAATGAAGAGAGAGAATACAACACTGTGAATCAGTGTGAGCAACACACTGCACACACGGTGGAGATCGTGTCTTAACGGAGGTGGCAACTGCGGTTATGATCTCTCGTCAGATCCAACAAGCTTGGGAGAGTGAAGGGTGAGCCAAAGCAACCATAGGAACGGCAATGAGGACGATCTGGGTAGAGAGCAAGCAACTGAAGAGAGAGAATAAAAAATTTAAAAAGCATTTAATACTCCAACGTTCATATATCTGGACGCCTAACGCGAATAGAAAAGCTGGGTGGTTGAGCTTTGGTAAAAATGTTGGTTTGGACCCTAACTAAGGTTGATTATTTTTTGCTATCCAAACATGATAAATGAAGCTTTTAAGATCCCAACTTAGGTTTAGTCCCTCCTAACTTAAGTTAAGATTCAATCCAAACATGCTCTTAATCTCTTAAACTCATTCAAGTTGTTTAATTCATTTCGAGATTTGTATAGCCATTTGTGGGCATTATATCTTAAAACAAGTAAGTAATAAATAATTTTTGGCAATTTTTAAATAGGGTGTAAATTTTAAAAAGTTTGGGTAGCAAGAAAGAATGGTAAAGGGGAAGGGCAAAAGGTCAAGGGTTAATGGTTTATGTAAGTTTAAACAAGAATTCTAGTCAGATAAAAAAGGAAAAGGCTAGTTCAAGGGAATTCAAGAGGTTGACTAAGTTGTAAGAGAAGCATGAAAAAACTTGTCTTACAAGAATGGCAAAAGAGGAAAGAGAGAGGATAGGAAGAACTTCTTCAAGTAAAAGAGGTGAAATGTTGACATGATGTCCCAAAACAATTTGTGGAAGTGGTAGAACATGTGAGAAATAATGCAAACTTGAAGGAAGGGGTTGAAAAAAATTAGGTTTAGTAGAATGTTAGATGTTAGTTGCACAAAACTACACCATGCTATCTATACAAAAATGACTAGATGTATTGGCCCTACAACATCATCAATATTCATAAGAAATATGAGGTTAGTGATCAATGGGTGGCTAGTTGAAGATTTATTAGGGCTGCCTAATGAGGGAGTGGATGTTTTGGAGGAAGGAGAACCAAATAAGGAGGTATATTTTGCACTGAAGACAAATTTTGATAAAAAAATGTTTTAGTGAGATAAAGACCGTGATTATTTTAGGGGAATATGATGAAATGTTTAAAGTCATGTTTGTTCTTTATACTCTTGAGATGTTGTTGTGTTCTCTTGCAAGTAGAAGTGTAACCTAACGTTTGTTGAAAATGATTTGTTATGAAAAGACAATGTTAGGTTCTTTCAATTGGTCATATCTTGTGGCAATGAAGTTGATGAAAGAGGTTGGAGAGTATAATATAGCTATGGACAGAGGTAAGGAAAGGAAATACATTGGTGGTTGCCTTTATTTTTTTATGGTAAGAATGTGAAATTTGTTTTGAAATTATGCATTTCAATTAGTTTCTGTTACGTGTATTCTTTTCAAGTCTTGATAGTTTAAAATTAATGTACTTTATTACAAGTATTGTTGTTTGAAAAGTTTCCCTTGCAAAGTATAGTGGCACCCATAATGGAGGAGGTACTTTAGTTTTGAGATGATGAGAAAGTAAATGAAAAGATTCAATTACAGAAGGACACGAGGGAAGGAATCCTATTCTCTTCTTTTCAATGTATTGAAAATCGGATCGGTCATTGAACCGGTTAAACCAATGGGTTATGAGTTAATGGTTCAATTGGGTTTGAACCAAAGGACAAATCGATCATAATTAAAATAATATAATTTAAATAAAAAGACATTAATCATGCAAACATTCAACCAAATTCAAATATCAATCTCTAATATAAGATACAAATGCAACAATAATTAGAGAATTACAACCACCCAAATAAAATATAACTTTTTAAATATTCATTCTTACAATTTTAATTTACAATCCTTCAATAATTAAAAAAAAGTTTAAAACTAATAATCACTAACTAAGATCATCAACAATGACAATCATAATTCATAAATGGTAAGCAACAATTAGACAAATGAACAATATCAAACAATAGAAGATTAAAACAATTAAGGCACAATTAACTTTAAAAAAATACTGAATCTTTTAAATTCAAACTTACAATTAAGGCCTTTTATTTGAAGTTTGAACCACATACAGTGAAATCTAGTTTAATTAACTCACCCTTCGTTGCCTCTTTTTTTTTTTTTAATTTCAAGCTGAATTTTTTTACCTTTTATTTAGTTTTTACAATTTAAAAAAATAAAAAAAAGTGACTCGAGTGGGTTAGCCGGGTTATCCCGAGGTCAACCTCAAGTCAACTGGGTCACACTGAGTCAATGACTGATAGGTTTAGATGAAAATCTAGACCAAAAAAGAGATCAAGTCATCAATTTATGAGTTAAATCGACTGATTTAATTTGAATTTTTATATAATATTTTTTTTAGTATGAGTGTGCAAAGTAAATAACAGGGATGTGAATGTGAAAGCAAATATATTGTCTCTAATAATTTGTGTACAGCTTCCAGAGTCGTGTCCACGTAAGAGCATTGTATATCGTCCCCTCTGGTGATGACATTAATTGCCTCTGGACCTCCACGAACTTCCAACTCAATTCAAGTAATTTTATAGTCCTCTAAATTTCGAAAATAGCAGGTGGAAAGATTCTTACACCAATAAGCTGCCAAAATTGTATTATCCCATTCTTCATGTCTCTCTTTGTTTTTTCAACTTTAATTTTTTCTGGTAAAGTTTTGAACTTTAATTTTAAATAGTTCCATCCTCGATCCTATTGGGGCTGTTTTGGGAAGGGGGGGGGGAATCTCTCTGGGCATATACTCAAGCCCGAGTAGGATTCAATGTAGGAGTAGCCCATTGCACTATTTATCCAACACCTTTGACCTTACACATTCTCCATACTTCTACTCATCACCCCATTCCACCGTAGTTGGGTTCCTTTTACTTACAGCCAGTTTATTGTTGTTTTTTTTTTTTTGTGACAATTTTCCCATAATATAATCCACAAGCATTTCTCTCTCTTTTTTTTTCTAGTCGACATTTTTTCTTTTCTTTTTTGCAACTAGCTTCAGAGACAGGCTAAAAATGAATCAAACAAACATGTGATGACTAACTAGTTTTATGAAGCAAATGATAATATTCATCAGCGAGGAAATCAGTATATATAGCTAAGAGATGTTTGTTTTATCGCTGTCTGATAGATGCTAGTTGAGTGGCCAAGTCATCGGACTCTGGTAGCTTTGGATGAACATGTCCGGCAGGAGGACCAGATCGTATCGTTCTAACTGATATTGCCTTTGGCTTAGGCTTAGGCTTTTCTTCATTCTGCAAATTGGCTTCAACTTTATCATGATTAGGTTTTGGTATGAGGTAAGGGGGAGGAACGATTCCACGGGAAAATGGTCTCTTTTCTGCTTCGTCGTCATTGTCTTCAGAAAAACTTGCTGATGAACTTGAACTCGAAGCCTTTTTGCCATCTCGGGACGACAAGTCTGTGCTTGTTGTTGACTCATCTTCATCGCCACTGTCAATAATAGTAACATTATTAACATCCTCATTCCTTCCTTGAGATGGCGAGTCTCTCCCTTCTTCTCCTCCTCTGTTGCTTCCATCCTCGTTCTTGCTCAATTCTTCATCTCTACTCCTCCCCTGCAACAATAAGCTATAGCTTTACTACGAGTTGAGGAAAGAGAACAAATCGGTCATAAGCTAAGACTTAAATTGCCATTTTCACTTTACTCAGTACATCCTAACAGTTATCAATGTTGGCAAGTCTGATAAAGGTGATGTGATGTAGTAGGACTTACTTCACACATCGAAGGTGGTCTATGAATTTGCTGAATCAAAGCGTTGCCATCCCATTGTAGAGAAAACTCTCCTGCTATATCATACAGTAACTGAATCTTGGTTTCCCTTGTAGGAAGATCTTGCCTCGACTTCGTTACAAACTACGTAAAGAATAACGCAGTTCACAATTGAGAAAGTCATGTCAATTAAGGTTGTAATTTGTGTCAGCAAGAATATAATTGGAAAGGCATGGAATATGGTTCACCTCTTTGCTTAAGTAAGGTTCAAAAGAATTCTCATATTTCTGTCTCAAGAGAGCTCTGAGTTCACGTAATTCTGGCAAATCACCAAATCTTGCAGCAGCGTATATCAATGTCTGTATAGCTTCCTTGCATTCATCCGGCAAATCCCTGTTTTCAAAGCATTTTAATTTATTTTAAAAACGGTTAAGCTTCTCTTCTGATTAACTCCCTCTCATCTGTAATAATATAACACATTTTAACAAGCATCATGCATATTTAAAAAAAAAATAATTTTATTTTATTTTTCTAAATCTCATAAAAAAATTAACTTATTTTTACAATTTTGTCCTTGTCTACAATTAACATTTACAATTTCTAGATCTATATGAAGAACCTCTCCTTGTCCTCACCTCCTAGGCTCACATGGTGGGGATGTGGCCCATTTAAAGGAGGGATTGGGAAGGACTGGATCTATAATTTTGTATATATAATTATTCAATCATGTTAATCAATGCAAGGATAACAATAAAAAATATTTCTTAAAATTACAAAACATCTTTCACTTTAATTAAATCAATAATAGCTTGCTGAAAATATTCTACACTGTGAATTGCGAGTAGGAGGGAGTACAGATTTTGTCCGATTATGTATACATTTGAAGAAAACATGATAAAGAATTAAAGTGTCTTTGAGGCACACTTTAAAACTTTATTATATATGTACCAAAACTTATTACATGTATAAACAGTAAATTCTAATGATATTTTTTATACCTTTAATATTATTATTACTTAGTAATATTTATTGGTTATTAATTAGTTTTATGTGAAAATATGAAAGTCATTTCCCATCACACTTTTTATCAATTGTTTAATGTTTAATGTTTAATATTTATTTACATTAATACTATTTAATAATATAAACTCAGATATCGTGAAGTCTCAATCAAATGGGCTCCCAACATGCTTTTTCCTATTTATAAAACATTAATCTCGGAATATCAAATTTCGAATCACCACCAGCTAAGTTCCTTATCGTAGGGATTCAATTCAGCTTTGCAAATATATCCTAATAAACAGGATTGTGAAAAGCCAAGTTTAACCCCCCAAAAAGAAGTATCAAGATCCCGATGTTATGCAGTGCGTGACAGCATGGCCGAAAAACATGGCTTTTAAGTTGCAATGTTCATCTTAGAAATTTAGACAAGAAAGAACAAGAAAAGAATCATATTACATTACAAGCCACAAAAGAAAAATCTTACCTCTGCTTATTTAGATCGTCAAGATGATTTAAGACGCATTCACTATACTTATCAATCAGTTCGTAACACAGCGATTTGTCATATTCCATCAGAAGCCCTGCAGCCTGCATTCAAATTCAAACACAAATTTTATATTACTCCTCTGTCCATCATCTAAATGAGACCACAAAAATCATGAAAGAACATGTAAGAAAAACCAGAGCATTTTAGAAAGAAAAATTACCCTTTGATAAGCATTATAGTCGAGGCCACGCCTCAGAAATTCAGCAATATCGTTCTTCAGGAACTCCTGCACTGCATTCCTCTTCCTCTGTATAATCTCAACCCTCAATTTCGTAGTGTTCAGGCATGATTTGCTGTTAATCAAAGAAGCAACAGAAGGTTCATCCAAGAACAAAAGAAACAGAGGAACGTCTCTGGGTTAGTGAACATCACGTACCTTTTCTTATAGAATTTGGATTTGAAGAATCGGGAGAACATTTCGGTGTTGTCCGAGAAAATGAAGAATGCGGGAAAGCTGGAATATTATGAGAAAGATGAATGGGTATGTATTTCTTGTAGAGTTACGCCAGGAATCAGGAAACCTGAAGGAAAAGAAACAGAGTTCCTAGAGAGGAGGGAATGGTAAATACATGAAGAAATAAGCTGAGACCTGAATCCTTCTGGGAATGGAAATCAGGGAGGAATAAGAAATCCGTGGATAGGAGGAAGAAAAAAAACGTAGGAACAAGAATGGGGAGAGCGAGAAGTCCCAAGTCTGACGAATGGAAGAGAGAGAGAGAGAGAAGAAGAAGAAGAAAAAGAAGAAGAAGAAGAAGATGGTGAGAGAGTATGAAAATAGGAAAGGCGAGATTGGAAAGTAAATTTAATTGAAGTGAGAGGTAAAATAGGGTGTGAATTCTGAAAGGTGGCATTAGGCAAATCAAACGAGAACGAAGCGCAAGGCTTAGAAGACGGCGCTGTATTGGGTAGAAATCGTTGTTACTTTTTTTAACTCCGACGCCACCAACACTGTCACTCAGCCTTTACTTCGCCAAAATTACATGCTATTCAAAAATGGGTCTGTCGCCCCCTGAGCCTGTGAATCAGTCTGAATGTCTGATTATAATTTGACCATTAGCTTTTGAAGGACCGATTCAATTTCCAAAATTATATACTCCCCCCACTTAAAAAAATAAAATATTTTTAAAAAATTAAATGTTAAAAAATATATTTTTTTTAATTTTTTAAAATATAATCATCAACTTTTTTACAAAAGTATTCCAATTAATAATCACTTTATATTTATTATAGGATATTTAATAGAAATAAATATAAAAAGATAGGGTTAATTTGAAAGTAAGTAATTACTTTATTGAGTAGTGAGATTCGATTAAAAATATTTTATATTTTTTAACAGAGGAAATAATGAGTTTGGAATAATGAGAAATTAGATTCATAAAAGTGTATGAATTTGAATTTAAGTTTAATTTAAATCTATGTTTTATAATAAATTCTTTACAAATTCAAACATTTTTTACTCTTATCATTTAAAATTTTAGCTATTTCAACCTTTTTTTTTTTCTCACATTTTCACTATCGTTACTTTTGTCATTCTTATTTTTTCTCTCATTTTTCATTATTGTTTCTCTCTAATTGAATGATAGAAATAAGTTTATCACTCTCAATCTTTTATTTTTATTTTAAAACTCAGCCCATCTATTTTCTTTCTTTAAAATGTTTTCATGTCATCTAAATAAAAGATTTTAAATATAAAACTTTTAAATATAGAATTTAAATTTATCAATGCAAATGCTACTTAAATATATTCCTTATTTCCTTATTTTTCCTTTTGATCAAATATGTAAAAAGAAAGCGATGGTAAAATTTCAAAAGAGTGAGTTAATTACAATTGGATTCCCAATAAAAATTTTTAAAAATTAAATTATAAATATTAATTTAAAGAATTGCAAACGGAAATTTCAAATTAAAAATTAACAATTATATTTTAAATTTAATTTTTAATTATTTTAATTGATATTTGCGGTTTCTTTTAAAAAAATTAGTTTATTTTTTATTTTTTAATTCATTCCATTTCATTCTTTTTCAGCAAACAAATAAGTCTTAAAATTTAAACATTTCCAATGCCACGTAATTTTTTTTTTGGCAAAAAGAAAAAAGATACATTACAGTTTAGCTTAATTTTCAATTAGGTACATCCCCTGTAACTTTAATGTATAATGTGGAAAGTTTCAGAAGCAAAATACTTTGTGCTTCATTTATAAAATAGTACAGCTCACTATGAATTTTGTATTTAATGTTGATATTGATGTATTAAATAACATATTTTTCATTAACAAATCTTGTTTTTGTATGGAGAATGTACGATTAGATTCTTAATTTTCTGTGTTATAAACCAAAATCGATGACATAGGAAAGTGTGGATCAGGCAATGTATCTGTGATAATTTCACTAATCATTTTGTTTAATTTGATTTGTTTTTTCAAGAATAAGTGTTTTGGTCCCAAAAGAAAAGGCAAAATATTTGAATTCAATTTCCGTAGTAATTTCATCTTTATTTTAATATTCAATTTATAAAAGTTTGGATTGAAAAAAAAAAGAAAATACGATATTTATCATGTATATATCTTGCTTCACTGATAAAATTTCGGGCAAGTAAAAAACTTAACTGGTAAAACGTTGATAATTAATGAGTAATGCCTTTGAGGAATTTTAGATAGGATTTTTTAAAAGCAAGTTATTAGGTACTAATAGAATATTATTTCTTAAAAAATTAAATAAATAACATGTTTTAATAGAAGACTGTGATGAACTATTGTTGTGAGATTCATTTCTGATATAAAACAATATGTATGGAGTATATAATGTTTTTATTAGGAATTAATTAACTTTGTATAAGTAATAATTTTATTTTAAAAAAATTCAATTCCAAAAAATATTCAATTAATTAGTTTCTGTAATATTTGACATTTTTTTGGCCAACTGTAATATTTGATATAAAAACCATATTTGTAATAGATAAGATACATAAGAATAAGACGTTAATGAACTATTATCGTGAGATTTTATATTATAACATACTACAAATATAATTTGATAAAATTTAATTCTTACAATAAAGAGCAACAAGTTAGTTTCGCTAATATATAAAATAAAATTTATAAAATCAAATCACAATATTAACATGTACTGAATTGGGCCACTCGTGATTTTATTAAATGCTGCGTATCTCACGAAAAAAAGTCTAATTATTATTTAAATGTATAAAATGCATTGTATTATATTCATGCAAATTTAATTTTTGAACGATTTCTACAGCATTAATTAAATCAAGATTTTAAAATATTTTGAAGGAGAACACCAGCTTGCAAATCAATCAATCTTTAGTTCTTTCTTGGCACTCTTTACAATTAAAATTTCATTAAAAATTCCAATAATAAAATAAAATTATGGGAAATAATATTTAAATAATGTAATTTTATTCTATATTCTTCTTCCAATTCCGCGCTTTCGTGCTGATTTGTTAGGAACCACTAATTCATGTAGATGCCTCCTCCACTGGGCCAATATGTTTCTTAGTAACAAACTACACACCATTGCGTGAATCAACACTTTAATGTCGTGTTCCGTATTCTTTCTGCTATTATTATTATTATTATTATTATTATTATTGCACCTTTATTCTTAAATTCTGCAACATTTTTCTCTTTTCTTGCTTCTCAAGTATTTAGAAATCATGCTGCCTCCCACATCCACTTCAAAATTAACTAGATGCCTTTATGCTATACACCCAAAAGAGATAATGATTTAAATGTTTTCTTTTTTCCCCGCTTTAAAGACGCTGTTCATTTTTTAAAATATTATTAAAATATATAAACAAATATTGATGGAATCGAAACAAAGTTACATATAAAACAAGTTGAAAAAATTGGCTCACCTCTAAGATTCAAATCTCTTCGCGAGAGGTGCTTGTATTTTTATTTCTAGCTGTATTTCGAACAATATTTATCCCCAATAGAAGGATATTTGTGCAAAAAAATGCTAATGGGAATCAAGTCTAACAGAAATGATTGATCCCTCACAATATCATAAATTATGGTTCAAATTTTTGCTGGTAAAATATGTTCACATTTAATTTCTTTATGATTAATTATAATTGTGAATCGAATATAATTGTTTTTCATAGGAGAGAATGCATACTAACAACCAAGGAAAATATTACAAGAAATATGACGAGAGTTATATTGTGAATGCCTGTTTGGTTAGGCAAAATAATTGATTATTTTATTAAAAAAATTAATTAACTAAAAACATCTCCAAACACATAAAAATCATGTAATCGATTTTGTTAGTTAAAATCAAATTTTCTCAAAAGCTGGCAATTGGAGCGTCTACAAATAATCCATCAAAAAGTATTGAAAAAAATTACAAAAAAAAAAATCCAAAAAAAATTATAAAAAAACCCCAAAATTTGATAACAATAAAACCAATAATATATTTTACTTCTTATTAAAATGTAACAACTTTAATAATATTATATATAAATTTATCAATAATTTAATTTTAAAATATAATATCTTTTATGATAATTTGTACAACTAAAATTGATTCTGAATAAATTATTCAAACATCTTCAATTTTACTAAAATTAATTTTAAAAAAGCGGCATCCAAACAGATTACGTTATAACATAATCAATTATAATTAAAATTTATCATTTAATTAATTATTTTTATAATTTATTATACCCAACTGAAATCTAAACAGGCATTTATAAATAATGTAGGTTTTTGTTTTAATTTAGCCTTTAAATACTTCAAGTTCCAGCATACAGATACAATCCATTCCGTAAACAATGAAAAAACCCCAATGAAACCCACGTAAACAGTAAATATATTGTACTGGGTGATATACGCATACAAGTATAAATCAATTTATTTCCAACTAAATCAAAATGTTACGTTGGTATTGAAAATTTTTCTCAGCAGCACTTTTTACTCTGCAGCAAGAATATTATGATTAGTAGTCATCCTGAAAGTTGGCTATGCTTTGTTTAAATAAAAAAAAAAAATGAAAGATGGCTATGTGTTGTGAGAGGGTCACGGGAATAATCAAATGATTCCCCAAAATGTCGCTCACTTTTTAGAATTTTTGGCCATTAATAAAATTCATGCACTCCTTTGCAATAATAATGATGATGATAATAATAATAGGAAGTTCATGCTAAATAGATGGTTTGATATATATATATATATATATAGACTTATTTTGACTCGAAAAAAAATGAAATTACGTTTCTGACAAAATTATTTAAGAATTCAATCTTTTAATTTTTATTTAAAATTTAAAATTGATTTATTTCCTTAAAAAATTTAAATAATGGATAACAATTGAGTATTTATAATTTTAAAAAATACTAACTAAAGTTGATATAAGTAATTGAAGATACGTGAGTTAAATAAATGATTAGAGGTTTAACTCTCAACCTTTATATGTGTAATAATTTAGTTGATAGTGATTTACCTTTTGCCCTGAGTATTTCGGAGAAAATAATATGTGCTGTCAGTGAAACTTACCTCTTATGTTATTCCAAAAAAAAAAAAAAAAAGCTACTCTTGATCCTATTTTTCTTTTTTTTATTAAGATCCTATTTTTCAAGAGCATATATTTTGGATGAATGCAAATTATATTTATGTTAATAAATAAAATTAATTTCTTGTTTTTTTAGTTCTTTAAGTATTTCTTTGGGACTGAGCCAAACCCAATCTAATAAAAGAAATGAGGTTTGGGCAATTCATTTGCAGGCCTAATTTGATACATCATA